TGGGGCACCCTTAGTCCCAACATGAAACCCTGAATCATAGTATCACATGCTTGGTCCAGCCACCTTTGAAACTCACCTATGAGTGCATGAGACCTTGGGGGAACATCTAGATACAAGTCATAACGGTTACTCTTAAATACTAGTCACACTTGTAGCACTCATATCAAGCCCAAGTCAGTACCAGCTCACCCTGATAAAAGTGAATGGTTTTTAAATCAGTGACCTTAGTCTCACTACCTGGTCCATGTCACTGCCAAAATGCAGTGCAATTAAAGACCTGGATTACTCACATAAATATATAGAGTTGCTGCTTTTAGTGGTGCTATTGATGATTCCATTTATTCTATCTGTTATGAAAATCTGTTCAGTGATCCATTGGTTAAGAACTTGTTGCATGGCTTTCAGCATGTAGATGTACGCTCTGTGGAATTCAGTGACTATAGACAAATTCTAGTAGTTGTAGACAATCCTCATAGACAGCTTATGACTCATTAGGCAATAAAACTGCCAAAAATGCTTAGATTAATTTGAACTTTTGCAGAATTTAAGGAATTCCATTACTTTATTTGTAGATTACTTAACCAGGCAACAGTGACATCATAGAGGCACTGAAAATTTCTTTTGAGTTATATGAAGGGATTGGCAAATTAAATTAATGCTTTAGATGAATATTATATACTCTTTCTTTCTCATGCGGCTTTGTAAAAACCAGGACCTATTTTTTCATGAAATGAATAATGCCCCTTTGTCTTATAACTTCCTTGATAATAGTTTTATTGTTCCAGTATCTACTATCTTTTATGCTTCCATTAAAAGGCTTTCTTTCAGATAACAGAAAAGGAGAATTTAAAACAATAATAACGAAAAAGATCTAAACTGTACCAGGCATGGTAGTAGACACCTATAATGCCAGCTGTCTGAGAGACTGAGGCAAGAGGATCACAAGTTCAAACCCATCCTGGGCAACTTAGTGAGACCCTGTCTCAGAACAAAAAATAATGAGCTGGGGATATATCTCAATGAGAAGGTCATGAGTTCAATCTCTAGTACTGCAAAAAAAGTCTAAACTGGGCATTGGCATGGTGGTACACATCCGTAATCCCAGCTAGTTAGAAGACTGAGGCAGGAGGATTGCAAGCTGAATTCAAGGCCAGCCTCAGCAATTTAGTGAGACCCTGTCTCAAAATAAAATTTTTAAAGGGCTGGTAGAGTCCTTGCCTAGCATGAGTGAAACCCTGGGTTCAATCCCTAGTACCAAGGGATTGGTATAGATAAAGATCAGATAAAGTAAAAAGTCTATAAGCCTTTTATTTGGATCAGTGTTTTCCCAAGTCAGAGTTGAGCAGGAAGTGGTTGCTGCAAGGAGGATCCATGATGTGCTGATTTTTTTGGTTGTATTTACAAAGTCTTCTCTGATCCCTCCCCCTCCTAGCTATTGTCAGCGGTTCAATCCATGTATGGAGCGTGGCAAAACCATCTAGAGAGTCCAGCCCAGCCACCCTCTCATATTGCCTTCCCCGTTAGTATCTCCCTCAGTTCTGGAGGCAGGCAGCCTGTGCCATCACCATCCCACTGCCACCACCTATTGACCATGAAACCACAGGAAAAAGAAAGTTCCTTACTCTGTATGAGCCTCATCTATAGGAAAAGTAGACCGATTTGCAGGGTTATGAATACCAAGTAAAATAGCATACTGTAAGTACCCAGCAGCATGCCTACAGCACAGTAAGCAATCCATAAATATGCACCCAGCACACCCCCTGTGATGCCCTTCTTAACACAGAGCTCCTCTGACAGTGCTTGGTGGGGCTCTGACATGGAGCATGAGGTCAAGGAGGAGCACTTGGACTACGAGCCAGGAGCAAAACAGGGGGAGTCCCTGAATTTCCACGTAGCTCAAAGTTTTCTGAATGTTGTTGACTAAATAATTCCCAAACTAGACAGGCAAAAGGAGCTTGTCTCTATTGAGGCTTTGTATTCAGCCACTGCCTTCAGAAGGCTCTCACTATTTCAGAGAAGAGCCTTCATAACACTGGTCCCTGTTCTGCCCAGGCTGTCTGGGTAGCAGTGGCTCCAAAACAAGGAAATACTAAGATGTTTGTCAATTCTTAGTACCTGATTTGACTCACATTAGGCAAGAGCTTGGCTTTCATTGTCCTGAATAAACTTTCTCCTTCACTAATGGGCGCTCCATCTTGTGAAAATGTCTGGGCAAAGAGGGTTGCTCCCCTCAGCAGTGAGCCCTGCTTGGACCTGTAATTCCTCCTGAGGCTTTTTTAAAAATTAAGTTTATTGTTACAATGTAGATATGCATATTGATCATAGTCATCATAGGAAATTTGTACGTGTACATGATATACCTTGGTACCTCTTTTTTTTCCTACTCCCTCCCCGTTCAGCCTCTCTTCCCCTCCTTACAAAGCTTTGTTTCCATTTTATCCTTCCTTTATCATTTTTCTTTTCCCTTCCTTCCTTCCTTCCTTCCTTCTCCTCTCCCCCGTCCCTAGTTCCCCTTTCTTTTGAACAATTTTTTTTCCTATTTTACAATATCTAATATATATTTTGGTTCTTATTTACACTTTCAGTATCTCACACCACAGAGACAATGCAATATTTATATGTGTCCAATTTATTTCACTTGCGTATGGTCTCAAGATCCATCCATTTAGCTATGAATGTCTCAAGTTTATCCTTCTTTATGGCTGAGTAGTACTCCATTGTATAAAAAATACATTTTTTTTAATCCATTCATCACTTGATGGGCATTTGGGCTGTTTCCAAGATTTTGCTATTACAAACTGTGCCACTATAAACATGGGAGTGCATATATCACTGTAGTATGATGCTTTTAATTCTTTTGGGAAGATACCAAGAAGGGAAATAGCTGGGTCAAATGGGACTTCTACTTCTAGTTTTTTGAGGAATCTCCACACTGATCTCCACAGTGGTTGCACCAGGCTACACTTCCACCAACAGTGGAAAAGCGTTCCTTTTCCCTACAACCCCCCCAGCATTTGTTATTGGTTGGTCACTTGATAATAGCCATTCTTTCTCCTCCAGAGGCTTTTCTAAACCATCAAGCTCCCTGAGCTTCACATTGAGGCCAGCAGGCCTTCCACAGCTTCTTTGTTGATCCTTCTCCATGAAAATTATGTCTAAGCTTGCTCTGGGAAACATTCCAGGTCTGCTCTTACCAGAGTGTTTGCTAGTATCAGCATGTGAGGTACTTGTTACATTATCTGTAATCTCAGAACCCTTCAGCCTTTAAAAAAATGTAAGAGAGATGTGAATTTGTGGCCCAGGGGACAATCTGGTACACAGACATGGGTTTATTTTTCCTTTGAATTGCATACACAGTGTTTATCCTCCAACATTTTTATTACTAAATTCTTCATACAGCAAAGTAGAGAGATTTTATTGCAAACCCCCATAATAACTACCCCCACAATTGAACCATTAACATTTTATTCTTCTTGCCTTATCACTTACCTACCTATCCTTTGAGCCATCTAGCAATTCTAATTTTTCATGCATTTCAAAATAATTTGCAAAAATTAGTACACTTCCTGCTAAATACTTTAGTATGCTGGAATTCAATAAGAAATTTATAAATCTTAAATTTATATTCACTGACTATTGCCAAATATATATACCTACGTAGGCCTGACCTCTATCAGTAGAGTACTAAGACTCCCCAAAAAGTTCCCTCATACCATTCCCAGTTCATCTCCCTCTGTAAAGCAACTACTCTTGTGAATCTTTTTCTACCATAGATGACTTTTGTTTAGAATGTCCTACGTATGGATCATTATATATGTTCTTTTGTATGTGTAGCTCTTCTTTCATTCACTGTAATGTTTTGAGATGATTCATGTTGTAGCATAAACCAGTAATTTATTCCTTTGTATTTCCAACTAGTAGTCCATTCTACACTATTCATCCAATTTCCTTTGACAATTGACCAGTTTCTAGTTTTATGGCTATGATAAAGCCTCTAAGAACATACCCAGACCAGTTTTTTTTTTTTTAATTTCTGTTAGGCAAATAAACATGTTATAGAAGTAGAATTTCTGGGTCTTAAGGATAGGCATATTTTAGTCTTACAGTAAATTACCGAATCTTTTCCCAATGCAATTACATTCCCACCAGCAGTGCATGAGAGTTCCAGTAGCTCCAAATCCTAGCCAACATTTGAAGTTATCAGCCTTAGCCATTCTAGTGTGTGTGTGGTAGAATATCATTGTGGTTTTGATTTACACTGCCCTGGTAAAAAATGGTACAGATCATTTTTTCATGATATGGTGTTATTAAAATTTAATCATTTAAAAGTTAAGAAATTTCATGTAAGATCCTGGATTTCTAGCTTTTTATGCAGCAGCATTAAAAGGCCCAGCAAAGATGGACACATATCCCCACCTGGGCCAATCAGCAGAAACTGACCAGTGACTGTGCCTTAAAGGCAACTGCTCTTCAGCTCCCCGGTGATGGCCAGTTATGTTACCATGCCTTATCACCATCGCAGTCCTGTTTTCCTCCTTGTTAAGAGGAAAGTGATCTGTTTCTTGAACCCATTACTGGGGAAATGAAAGGTGGATCAAAAGGGCTGTACGGTGCAAAAAGTGGAAAGACCACATTTCTTTGGGGCAATGAGAAAAATATTACTACAGTGTTTAATATGTGAATTAAATAGATCTATTCTGAAAGGCTATGCTGTAAGACTCTAAAATGAAACTCCCTGGCTTTACTCATTTTTATTACCTGCCTGGCCCCATAGGATTCTGAGTTTGTAACTCCTTTAGTAGAACTATTGAACTGATACATTATGCCTCAAGACTGCACTAACTGGGGGTTATTTAGACATACAAAGAGATCTAATTTTGTGTCCTTTTATTGAAAAAAAAAAAGACTCCCCAATTCTTTATTTGTGTGTTATAAAACATTGAGACCAAAAAAAATTTTGTTTCACTTTCTCAATCCTGTAATTTTACTTTTAATTCCAGGATTGTAAGTGGAAAATGTATATGGAGATGGATGGGGATGAAATTGCAATAACCTACATAAAAGATGTGACATTCAACACTAACCTACCTGATGCAGAGATTTTAAAGATGATAAAGGTAAGATTCTATTTATAGCTTAAAAGTTTTTTGAATTCACAGATATCAAACAAAGACATTAAAATACCCCAGCAGTGTGCTTTTGTGCTTGTGATGCTTGCATCAGCTCAGCCTCAAGCTGGCTGTTGAAAGGCACATTTTATTTAGTAGATTGAGACAATAATAGGTTTTTGTTAAAATTCCACTTAGGCTGTGTGAACTAAAAAGCACTGCAAAAAAGTATCATTTAATTTTTTTAAAAAATTTCCATCTACATTTCTTTATGCTTACCTTGTCATTTATTAAAGGAAAGAAAATGTTATTGACAATATTTATTTCAAATTTGGATCATTTTAAACTTTGGAAAACTTGTAAAGAGGAAGACTTTCCTTGGTTTCATTCAGTTTCTTGCAAGACTGAGATGAGGCTATGTCTGGGGTGTGTGTTGAAGTTTTAATGGCTTTTTGGGTTCACATTTGGAAATTCTGGGAGTTGTCAGAGTGTCCGGGTCACAGAGATATGCCTTTGGGAACACTAGAGAAAGGCTTATAGAAATGCTTAACTTGCCCTCAAAATGGCAAAAAAAAAGCAGTTCTGTCCCAACCATACAGAGGAAAACACATATGAAACTTCAGTTGTAGAAAGAAGGTCAACAACCTGAGGCTAACGAGTGGGACGTCAGTAGGACTGTCACCCTAACCGCAGCCTTTAGCTCTAGGACACTCTTTAACTATGTATTTAGACTCAGTGAAGAAAATGAGACTTGTCACAAAGAACCAAAGTACAAACACAAGTAGAAAACCTTCAATGCCATGGCATTAGACTTGTAAATGTGTTCTCTGCACAAACATGAGATTATTAAACACCCAAGTTCTTTTAATATACAAGTGAATTCATCAAGTAGACTGATTTGATATTCATTGTTGGGTTCCTTTGCATAACTGGGAGTTATTTCAAAGGCATAATTTATCTGTAAAGGTTATGATTTGGGTTTAACTTCTTACGTTGTTGGGGCATATTATGCTTTGATGTCTTGAAGACTAGAAAGTATGGATACTGGTACTGGAGTTTGGGGCAAGGCCCTTATTAAGGGGTCCCAACAGGCCAGGCCCATTCACCCGTTCCATAACACACTCCAGGAGATGAGCTGTGGAGAAGAGCAGGAAAGGAGCTTTCATCAGCATGGTCACGCTGGGGAGCACAGTAAAGATCCGTCTTCAAGGGTCTGACAGGGGCTTTAGGGTTTTACGGAAAAGGAGAACAGAGGCAAAGCCTGGGAGTTTATATAGCTGGGGGGTGGGACTTATATAGCTGACAGTGTAGGTAATCCTGGTCAACTCATCCTGGTTGATCAGTATGTCAGGACTGGTTCTATGAGGTCTTGGGGAGCCATCATCACTTAAGGGGGTAATTGGGCTCCCATCACGCGATGGCTGGGCCCCTGCTTTGGGGGAGCAAGCCTACTTCCCATCATAGGATAAGCCCATCATGGGATATTTGTTTCTGGTTAAGGGGTGAGCTCATCATAGGATAATCTTGGAGGCTCTGCTTTTCTGGGAATCCAAAGTGATCAGAGGTTTAGGACAGTGACTTGGGACTTCCAGACATCTTTCCAAGGGGCCTGGAACTAGACATTGTAAAAGCTAGCAATTAGCTGCAAATCCCAAAAATTATTTTAGTGACTCTTACCTCATTGTCCTCAGTCTTGAACGGAAATGAGAGAAGCTAATTGAATTTAGGGATAATGCACCTTGTAACATGGACACTCTGAATGATTAACATGCCTACGTGTAGAGCTGAGCAGGGATCTGACCCAGAGTTTAAAGTAATAAAGGAGACGTAGTAAGTGAAGGCAGAGGTGCCACTGGGCATCCACCAGCCTAGCTGTAACTCCCTGTTACCATACTTTCTGCTCCTTCCCATCCATGACTGCACTGGCTGCGGCAGTCGTTCTTGCTTCAGCGTACTTTTAAGAGTAAGATCCAAAGCCCTGACTATGAGCGGAAGTTAGTTGCTCATGGAAAAAGTAGTAGGATTGTGTCATAAAACGGAGTGCCTGTGTTTCTGGTTTACCACATGTGCAGAATTACACCATATTAACAGGGCTGCTGGAAAAATAAGATAGAGCAGACCATTCAAAACATACAGAACTTTTTAACACCAAAAGAAACAACGACAGTCCTAATTTAAAACAAAATAAGCCCTGTTTGTATCTATTACATTTTCTGTACTCAACTTGTAGGCAGTCATTCTTTTACAGCATTAAACTAGAGGGACAGAAAAAGGAGAGGAGAATGCAACTCACTTCTAAAAGAGATTAGTTTCATCAGAATAAACATAGGCTTCAAGGCACAAGCCTCTTTACTAGTCCTTTGTTTTAAAATAGTGGAAAACATTGCCACAGTGCCTTTGCTTGTACATGTGGCATTGCAGGATAGCCTGACAGTGGGGAAAGTTGAGTGATTGTTGAAAGCACTACACCAGCCACTGCTTGCACTCAAGGAACACATTCCTGAGCTTTCTCATTGTTGTGGCTTTCTCTTAATTTTGAGAAAGTTTTTCTGTCGATGCTTTAAACATTAGCATGAACTAACGATATAAGTAGGGCCAAGCCATAGCAAATATTATTTTACAAAAGAGAGCATTGTGGGAAACCAGGATCAGCTGTTTACAGTTGTGTACAAAGATGTGTTAATGAAAAACAAAGTTCAAAACATTAGCACATTGTGAACCAGCATCGCTTTCATGATAATCTGGTATGATATCCCTATTTGCCAACTGAGGATGGCACAGCTGGCCTCGAGAAAACTCACCGTGGCAGGGCAGGCTGTATTGTGGTGTTACACCGCTTACCTTTCTTTTTCAGCCACCATTTGTGATGGAGAAGTGGATTGTAGGAATAGCAGAAAACCAGACCGTGGAGTGCACTGTCACCTATGAGGTGAGTCCCTGGGTAGTGGACAGGGATGTAGCTCATCCCTCAGAGAGCTTGGGATTTCTTGGGATTTGCTGGAAAAGAAGCTACTTAATTAACATGAATATGGGCAGATCAATGCAGTTTCACTGACAAAGTGTTGAAAAGGAGAGCGAATAGGACAAACTTACCCAGTTAGAGACGGGGCAACACTTCTTTCATTCATCCTTGGCTGAACACTGCTGCACACCACGAAATCTGTTTAGGTACTGAGAATACCAAAAAGTGACTAAGCAGACGTCTGTCTTCTTAGAGTAAAGAGTTTAGGGGTGAGAAAAGGTGGGTGAATCTTCAAAAGGTGAGAACATAGCCCCACTACCAGGTGGGGAGAAATTGTATTACCAAAAACAGATGGACAGACTGCGTATACTTTGATATGGAAAGATGGGAAATTTTATACTTTTTAAAAAATATGCTATTCAAAGTAGAATTCATAGGTTTAAGAGTACCTGAAGGCAGCTGCTGTTCTGTGACTCGAATATACAAGGCCTACTGGGATTATATTCCAGGGGAGCCAAATAGAGAATAAGGAACAAGTCAGTAAATTATGTGAGAGAGTAAAAGGTGGTCAGTGGAAAATAACTCAGGGTGTTACACTGGGTGCTTGCAGAGGTCTCTACAGAGGAGACAGCAGGAACTAGCAGGAGAACAGCAAGTGCAAGTCCCCAAGCAGAGGGTACAATGACAAAGCTGGCCGTGGGCCCCAGAGAGGATTTTGGACTTGCTGTAAGCACAATGGGAGCTCAATGGGGCATTTTAAATTGCAGACAGAAAGAACCTAATTATGTTTTAAAAATCAATAAGATCTGCATAATGACATGTATATGGTTACCAATGCTTTGCACTAAAAAAAATTTAAAAATAGATGTCATGTTACATGCTTTGTATCATAACATTTTCACCTTCACAGAGAATGATTTCTCTGTATATATTTTAATGATATGTGGTTCCATAAGTGTATTTAATACCAATAATTTTTAAATCACCAAGGTCTTCATGGCTGGTGGGACATTAACCTTACAAAATAGAAGAACCCTGTGTGGAGTGGCTAAAGGGGCACAGTTAGAGCAGAGATTCTAGGGGTACATGAAAATATCAGCGTGCATCTACCACTGATAAGGCCTGCTTTTCTAAGCCAGGAGTGGTGGCACATGCCTTTAATCCTAACACTCAGGAGACTGAAGCTGGAAAACTGCTGAGCGTTCCAGGCCACCCTGGGCTACATCGTGAGTCCAAGCCCAGCCTGAACTACATAGTGTGATTTTGTCTTTAAAAAAAAAGGTCTGCTTTGAATTGGGCTTTATGAACTGCTGCATTGGGATGATCTTCCCAGCTGCCAGGGTTTGACTCTTCAGTATCAGTGCTCCAAACCCTGGCCAGCTGGCTCTGCAGCCTGGAAAATAGTAACTGTTTTGACAGTGATCTGTGGTCGTTACTTTTCTTGTTGCTCAGAAACAATAACCAGCACCTGCAAATTAAAGGAGGGAAGGTTTATTTTGCCTCACAGTTTGTGGAGGTTTTAGTCCACGTCAGTTGCAAGACAGGGCAGCATTGTAGGTAAATGGATGCAACTCGAAACCATACTCATAAGTGAAATAAACCAGACACACATGTGCAAACATTGTGTTGTCTCCCTGGTGAGAGAAGCTGAAAGAGCAAGTAAGATCCAAAATGTACAACAGGTATTGTAAAATGGAAAAAACTTCAAAAGGAAAGAGAAACTGGTTTGGGGGGAACGGAAAAAAGATGGAAGGGAAAGGCAAAAGAAAAAAAAAATATATATATATATATACAAAAGATAGTTAAAATAGTTATACTACTAATTTCTCTCAGTTCAGTGAAAAGATAGGTCTGTGCTAATATTGTTTGGACAGTTAAATGCTGATATCCCGTACTCTGAGTAACTAAAGATAACAATAGGCAATGTATTAATCATTGTTACTCTCCTATCATATTGTTTTAGGATTTTGCTTTTTGTTTTTATTTGTTTGTTTTTTGTTTCTTATTTTTCTTTAAAATAATTATTTAAAAAAAAAACAGAGTGGCATGAAACAGGGCATGGCAGAGAGCAGCTCAGGGCAGGCAGCAGGGTCAGAGAGAGGGATCAAAGGAGGAGGGTGGACGAATCCACTGACGGTATCACACCCCCACGATCCAGTCACCTCCCCAAAGCCCCACTATGATCACGTGAAGCTTTGGGGGACATCGAGATATAAACCATAATTTCTGTCCTCTCCTGAAGGTTGCACAGATTGTGGGAAGAGGCACCAGAGAAGCAACATTAGCTATCAGTGAGCGTGCAGGGCACAAAACCCAAATAAAACGGGTTGGCTGGTCTGGAGGACCTGATAAACTCTTCTAGACCATTCCTGAGCTGAGGGTCCTCGCTCCCCAGGGAAGCCCTCTTCTTCGTTCCTCTTCACCAGGCCTCTCGTTCTGCAGATGCACCACGCCCACTCGTTGCTGCTTGTTCTTGCTTCCCTTCCTGTCCCTCCTTCTCCATTGCACATTCCATCATGATAACCATTTATGTCTGTGTTTTTCACTCCTGGGTTTTTAGAAACATTTTCATAACTGTGTTGAATCCTGGAGAGTCCTTTTTGGGCGATGCGGCTGGGGATGTAACAGAGTCCTGTGTGTGCTGGGCGAGCCTGTACCACAGAGCTACACGCAGCTCAGGACGGGCTGTAGTCGGTGTGGCTTTGCGACCCCTGCTGAGGAGGGAGATGTCCGGAGCAAGTGGGCTGTGTCCTGAGCTGATGTCCTTTCTGTTTTCCTGAGCTGAATTTCTCCCCTCTTGATCCCGTCTCCCTTTGCACCTCTTACCCTTTGCCATCCCGGAAGGAATCAGTGCCCTGCATGCACCACATGCATCCTCATACCTTGGAACCAAATACCTTGGGACAGAAACCATTCTCGGGCAAAAGTCAGGTGTTTGTTTATTCAACAGAATCTCTCTTTAAAGTACTAAAACTAAAGGAAATTATTTCTTATCAAAGAGGTAAGTTGAGATTTGCCAAATGTTATAAGTCCTGGGAGAAGGCAACACATATTTTACTACCATAATCGGTAAGGGATATGTTATAATCCATTAGGGAATAAACTGCTGGGGCTGCTGTAGCCCAGTGGAAGAGCAGGTGTTTAGCATTTGTGAGTTCCTGAGTCTCATCGCCAGTGTGGGAGACAGACAGACAGAGTCGGACACAGAGGCAGAGAGAGACAGAGACACGGAGACAGGCAGAGAGACAGACAGAATATGAGAGAATTATATTTAGGCAAAGTATTCAGAATATTTTACCTAAGGCATATCGTAGTGTTCTAAGTAGGGACACTGAAATGACACAATAACTTCGGTTTTTTTCCTTCCAATTTTATAAGTGAAATATGTATGTGCTTGGTCATGGCTTCCTTTTCCTTTTTGACAGAGTGATGTTAGAACTCCAAAAAGCACTAAACATGTCCATTCAATTCACTGGAGTAGAACAAAACCGCAGGATGAAGTGAAAGCTGTCCAACTCTTCATTCAGACATTACTCTTCAATTCCGAGGGCAACCCTCGCAGCAGGTCCGACTCAAGTAAGTTAGTGTTACATGTGTGTGATATCCCGAAAGTTAGTTATGACTTACTCATAGCAGAGGTAAGTGCCTGTCTGTAGCTAGACACACATTCCTAATGCAGTACTTACTGCTTACACTTTTATAATATTGGTTTTTATAGGCAGATTATGTGGTAAGTAGTATTTATAGTCATATACATGGGTCTACTAAAATACATTCCAGGATAACCATGACAGAAGATGAACATTAGGCTTACATTGTGTCGGTAATAAAAATCTGTTTGCATATTTAGTTTCCAGAAGTATATGTGCAGATAGAGACATGAATCTTCTATATGTAGTAAACCTTTGCTACAAAGTCACTGCTGTCACTGGGAAACATCCTGCATCCCGGACACCACTGATACATCAAAGTATGGGAAGGATGGGGGAAGGGAAGAAGGGGAGGATAGAGGAAGGGAGAGAAAGACGGAAGAATAGAGGGATAAAAGAAGGGTATGATAAGAAAGAAAAGAAGATAGAAAAAGACACAGAAAACTTGAAATGCATATGGTGGCTAGTGGTAAAATTATAGATGATATAAATAAACAATTTAGAGTAACACCGAGGGGGCCAGGGATATAGCTCAGCAGCAAAAGTGCCTGCCCGGCAAGTGCAAAGTCCTGAGTTCAATTCCCCGTACCAAAAAAAAAAAATATATATATATATAGAGTAACACTGAGGAGGATCAGCTGACTGGTGTCAGCTTGGTCCTTATTTGGTGAGTTTAAAGAAAAGGTTCTGACCCTCAGCTCTATAGGTCCAGAAATTCAAGTAACTCTTTGGGACTGGCACAAGCTAACAAAAACACTGGAAATATGTATAGAACCTCCCACGCAGTTTCCTCTTTACCATGAGAAATACACCTGCCAAACAAAGCAGAAATGCACATTTTCTTATTGGTGCATGTTTTTTCCCCAAGAGAAACTATATCTGTGAAGCTGTATCAGAAGGTTATTTGTTGGGCACACGCAAAAGCCAGGGGCTATAACTTGCCGCCCTTGAGGGTTCGCCCCTGTGTCTTCTGCCCTGAAGTCTGACCTGCCAAGCCAACCAGCTGTCCTTGATGCCCCAAGCCTGGTGCCCAGAATCCTGGACAATACTCAAAACCCACCAACAAATTATTTTGACAGCGGGGCTGGGGATTCAGCTCAGCGGCACAGTGCCTGGCTGGCAAGCACAAGGTCGTGAGTTCGATTCCCAGGACCGGGAAAAAAAAAAAATTGTTTGACAGCATGGCAGGCCTGTCCACCTTTGTGAGAACAGTTGATTTGCTTATATTCTTTTACAAATAATCATCAAGGACATCCTGACTACCAAGATTGGGCATGACTGAGTTTTTGTCCAGCCTTGCTTGCTGTAATCTTATCACCAAACACCTTTTTGGGCATGCTGTTCCTACAAATGACTGTTCTACACAATAGGTGTTGATTCCTACTAGCTGTCCTCTCAGACGCTGTTTCTGAATTCTTTTATGTTTGTTCATACAACAGTCTTGCTTTGCATGCCTATTATACTTCTAAAGACTTCTTTCTATAACCACTAGTGTTTGTAGGGCACATTTTACTTCTATAGGGCTTTCATAACCTTGATCTTCTTTGATCCCTACAACAGCCCTGTGAAACCTGGGGTGGGGGTGGGATTCTTCTTTCTGCATTTCTGCTGTATTTTCCTTCCATTAAAAGCTTGTTTTCTGCTTCCCTACTAATATGATACGAAATGACTGCCAACAGCTTCAAAGTTTTATAGAACTCCATTCCACATGTGAGAGTCACTAAATAGATACTTTATCAGTAACAATTTCAGATTCTTTGGCATAAAGCTTATGGATGCTATTTTTTCCCAAGCATTCTCTCGTGGACCAATTAGCTATATGAATAGCATGAAGTGGTGGTAGGTGGCCAGGACATCCTATATAACATATGGTGGCCATGTGAATGGAGTCAAGGTAGAACCCTTAATGTGGCATTAAATTTACCATTTAATGGTAAATGGTAGTGCTAAATGGTATTAAGTGTTCTTGGCTACTCTTAAAAATAAATATTTTATGTATAGTAGATTTTGTGAAATAGGAAGAAGTTACTCAAAAGGGAAAGGGAACCAGGAAGGGGGAGGGGGAAAGGAAGGAAGGAAGGAAGGGAAAAGAAAAACAGACGAGAATGGTAAAATGCAAACAAAGCTTTGTGAATAAGAAGAGGAAGAGAGGTTGAAGGGAGGGGAGGGGAATGGGGAAAAAAGGAATCAAGATATATCATGTACAGGTACAAATTCCCTTTAATGAATGTGATTATTATGGATACATAAATTGTACCAATAAACTTAATTAAAATTTTAAAAATAAGTTCAAGTCTAGGCAACTTAGTGAGATCCTGTCTCAGAAAGGGAAGGTGGGGACAAGAATACCCTCCTATCTCCTGTTAGGCTTGGTTCAGACAAACTTTTTCATTCTGTTAACTAGAAAGTCTGCAGAATTAGTCTGCAGAATTAGTCTTTGACTTCAGCTTTATCTAGTTTGCCTCCCTTTCATCTTCATTGTAGCTATTTATTTATTATTTATTCATTTATTTATTATAAGTACTGGGGATTGAGCCCAGGGCTTTTACACTGAACTACATCCTAAAACCCATTTCTTTCTTTCTTTCTTTCTTTCTTTATGTACTATTTTGAGATGGAGTTTTATCAAGTTCCTGTCATAGTTTGGTAATTGCTGGGACAAAATCCAACACCCAAAGTTGAAGGGGGAAAGGTTTATTTAGCTCACAGTTTGTAGAGGTTTCAGTCCATAATCAGCTGGCTCTAAGGCAGGGTGGATGGCAGACAGGTACTGAGAAACAGTTCATAGGGGACAGAAGATAGCAAAGCAAGCAGGAGATGACTACAGCTCTTTCTATCCCTTATATCTTTTCCAGGCTGCGTAAGGCAGGTAGCCCTCACACCCTTGTGCCCATGATCCTAGCACTGCACCATGCATCAATTCTAGCATGATTCAGCCACCTCTAAGAAAGCCCCAGCTGTGATTGCATGAGGCTTTGAGGGGGCATCTAGACCCAAGTTGTAACAGTTCCTAAGTTGCCCAGCCAACTTGGGCTCCAATTTGTGACCTTTCTGCCTCAGACTCCCAGAGTTCTGGAATGAAAGCAAGCATCACCATGCCCAGCCCTTACATCCCGTTTTACCCCTTTCACAGTGTGATGTGAAGACTCAGAAGATACTCCCCAGAACAGTTAATGTCTCTTTCAGTGGCAGGTAGCAGAAAATCTCTTTTCACTTTTGTCCAATAGTTCTCAAAACGTGGGTGGTCCTGGAACCAACAGCGTCTGGGTCCCGCATGTACTTGTTTGAAATCCAGACTCTGAGGCCCAGCCCCAGGACTATAGAATCATAAATCCTGGGGGTAGAACAGCAGTCTTGACTCTAAGAAGCCCTCTGGGTAATTATGAAGTATTCTAAAGTCCTTCAACCAGTGAGTCAAGTGCCAATAAAATGTATTGTCTTCCCTAACAAGAGGCCATGAAGGCTCCAGGTGTGGTGAGAACACCCAGCAGGACCCCGCTGAGATCGAGGGAGGCGGGTTGGCTTCTTCCCACTCCACCCTGAGGTCCATGTTGGCTCCCCTCCACCTGGCTGCTCTCTCTCCACAGTCACTAGGATGCGGCCACGCCCAGAGGCCAGGGCGGTTCAGGACCTCCCTGTTCTCGTATCCAGGAGTGAGGAAACCTTAGAAGACCCCGCAGTCTCCCCGTGCCAGCTTCACTCTGGCAGAATTGAGAGCTTGCTCCTTCCTGGCACCAGCACTCTTGCTCAGCCTGATCAAGTGTGCGGGAGCCCCAAGGCGGCCTGCTGCTCCGACACACACATGAGGTCGTTGGGGTTGGAGACCACACAAAATCAGGGCTCATTTGGAAGCTAAAATGTCAGAGAAATCGAAGTGAGAAAAGAGGGCGTTGTGATACTTTATGATTCTGCTCATGTCACGTTTCTATAATCCAAATTCCAGACAGGGAGAGCGGATGGGTAGTTACCGAGGGCTGGGAGAAGGCAGAGGGGGAGAAGGAGTGTTTAGCGGGTGTACTGCCTGCAAGAGCGCCGTTGTGCCAAGGCGAGTACACACACACACACACACACACACACACACACACACACACGACAGAAGGCACTGGGCTGGTGGGAGCCTTGAGGACACAGGAGGTGCCCCAGGCCTGGACAAGTCCCTTGCCTTAGAGGTGGCACCACCTGTGCGGGGCACACAGGGCGGTCCCTTGCTGGCGGGGAGAACCAAGCGTGCTCTGCTGCCCCCTCCCCAGAACTCCATCTGCGCCAAGCAGGGCCAGAGACAAGGAGCGGGTGGGAGTGGGCCAGCGGGCGGAGCCCGGCCCAGACCTGGGCAGACCGTGAGGTGGGGCGTTAAGTACTGCGTGGGAAGTGCCAGCTTCCTTCCTCGCGTGGAGCCGCTCTCCTCCGGAGATGAGAGATGAGCGCGTCTCCCTTCCACACCATCTCCAGCTGCCTCAGCTTTAGAACTTCCTTTCTTTTACCTGCTTTTGGGGCCCTTGAAGGTCAAGACTGCTGGTTGCCAAAAGAAAAAAAAAGTCCTTTGGTTTCTGAAAAGCACATGCCTGCCACCCAGGCACACTTAAACAGCAATTTCTAGACGTGACATCACCACTCAGGAGGCAGGAGCCCGCATTTAGAGGCAAGGGGACCCGGGATTACTGGCTGAGTGGTCTCGGGCGATCGAGCTCCTTTACCTCTGAGGTCTCGTTGGTTGTACAACCAGATGATTAGTATTTACCTGCGGAGATTATAGAAGAGTCGAATGTGATCACGTAACGTGAAATCATGGAATAACAACCAAGTTCACAATGTACTCAGTGTCAGTATCTATGTTTTTAAAAAACTATTTGTACGAGTAAAGGAAACGTGCTTATTTCTGGCCTAGAATTTCTGTGACTGTGAAGGGTAGAGCAGCCCGAGCAGCTCGAGCTCCCTGGCCGGCTGAGGGGGTGCGGGGCGGGGCAGCCGCTGGGCCCGCTCACCTCCGTCTGTCCCGCAGGTGCCGACTGCCAGTGGCTGGACACGCTGCGGATGCGGCAGATCGCCTCCGACGCGCCCCTGCACCGCTCGCAGAGCAACCCCATCCTGGGCTCGCCTTTCTTCCCGTACTTCAACGACCAGGACTCGTACGCGGCCGCCGTGCGGCGGACCCAGGCGCCCGTCAAGTACCAGCAGATCACGCCCATCAACCAGTCGCGGAGCTCCTCGCCCACGCAGTACGGGCTCACCAAGAGCTTCTCCGGCCTGCTGCTCAACTCCAGGGACAGCGGCTTCTCCAGCCTCAACACCGACAGCTCCTCCGAGCGGGGGCGCTACTCCGACCGGAGCCGGAACAAGCTCGACCGCGGGGGCGGGTCGCTGCACGCCTCGCCGCGGGGCCGCTTCCCGGGGCAGAGCCAGCACCCCGCGGCCTCCCGGGAGAGGGGCG